AGGGAGATAAGTATAAGTATATAAGTATAATCTATATTGTCATTGTACTGAAATACAACGAAATTGGTTAAAGATAAAGATGAAATCGAAACAGAGGGCAATGAGTCAGCATGGTAAGGACCATGGGTGCCTCAGGCGGGTTGATAACTACACAGGAGACCTGGTACAGGCTATGTACAAGTGTCTCTCCACTCAGTACTTGGATTTTGGAAAGAAAGATTTTCCGCTCCTGAGTGGAGCTTCTCAGGATCTCCCCTATCACCTGAGACAAACAATGTATTTCTTACTTGGGACTCCATCCACTTAACAATCCACCTAATCACTTAACAAGAACCGGGAGTGGTTGGATTTTGGTTGTTGAGTGAAGCAATCAAATGGGCAATCACATGATGTCTTGTTTAACAACCATTTCACTCAACAACCAAGATCCAATTGCGATCATAAATTGAGGACCAAGAGTACAGAAAAAAAAATAAGATCCTTGAGATATCCTCTCTTTGGTTACTAGATACTGAAATTTAAAATAGGAATCTTCGAGTTCCAATAAACAAATTAGCTGACATTATAAGGATGAGATAAATCCAGAGATTATGTGCTTTTAAATAGTTATTACATTTCTTTAAAAAAAAAGAAAGTAATAAACTATTGTTTCATGCTAACAAAAATGTTTGTACAGTTCATGCTGCTGCAATGTTTTATAGCTCCTAATGTCAATTCCTCAAAAGAAAGTATATGGCTGGACTAGATGAACATTCAATGTCAAACCCAACAAACATGAAAAGAAATGTACCACATTTATCATTTAAAAAAATCTCAATCCAAATGAATTTTGAAGGAAAAAATTCTTATTCAAGAAAAAGTTACAGCAGACACAGCATTTGTAGCATATGATGTTCCACACCTACAATATTTTCATGAAAACACATCAGGGCTGAGAATTTATAATAAAATATATTTATACCATCATCTTAGCTTCTTAGCTTCAGTGTGTATTCTTTTATTTGTCCACCACAAGAAACATTCTGTCTATTCAATGTTGTATATACATTTACAAAATTATATACAATACCCTTCCCATCAATTAGGCACAATGTTTATGATCCCAGTGATGGATTTGCTTTAAAAACTTAGTAAAACAGCAAAGTAGAAAAACAGACGAATCCTAAAAAGAAGCCCATTTATAATAAAATGACAGCTCCTCTATTCAATGTCATAAATAGATTGATTTTTAAACACCATAGGTTCACAACATTATTGTATTCCCTTAGGGATGTCTCAAAATTGAATAGCAAATCTGATTTGTTTAATTTGTAAATTTGTTTCTGCCTATCCTGAGAGGACTAATTAAAAGCGAAAATTATTATGTCAGTGTACAAAAACTGTATATGCTTAATACATCTTGCCCAATACTGACAAGAAAAAAAATTCAACAGGTTTGCTTTAAGAAAATCCACCAAAAAAGAAAGAAAGAAAAAAATCCTTCAAACATTTTTTCCATTGTTAGGGCAACTGCATAGAGGAGATTCTGAATTGGGCTTTGTAAAAAACTAACATATTGTATAGATCCTTTTTATTAGTTGTTAAGCCTGCATATCAGAACTGTGGAAGTGAATTTCTATAATCCAACAATAACTCTCCCAGAGTTCTCCAAACAGTCCACAAAAACCAAAGAGCTGAACGGTCCAAAACAGAATATGGCTTAGGAAGCATCATCTCAAAGAATCAACTAGGCCCATATTTGCAGCAGGAAGAGTGTTTTTAGCTGATTTGCAGAAATTCCACCTCACTACAGAATGGATCATGCTGGTCACTTACTCAGCAAGGACTCTTAATAGGACATCATTAGAAGTTCAAGATAACCACTAAGAAAAAAGTAAAGTGAAGACAACTTCTACCAACCCTAATACACATGCTTAACTTTAAATCCAACCATTTGGCTAAATGAAAACAAAAGTGAATTAAAATAGTCATACAGCAGCATTCCGGCTTTGTAATAAAGGCTTTGTATTTCTTATCAACAATCTGTGGTCTGGATCCATAGAATAGGGCTTGTTCACTTCTGGATCTTTATCCTGCTGCTCATCAGATTCATAGAAATTCTTTTCACTGTATTCTTCCAGAGCACCATCCTATAAAGGGAAACAAGACTCATTATTTTACTTTTAATTTTTAAGTATAACATCCAAATTATAAATATGGTATACCTTCAGGGGTGAAATGCTACCTGTTCTGACTGGTTTGCTAGAACCGGTAGCAAAAAATGCTAAAGTTCGCCTGAACCAGTACTAAAAAAAAAAAAANAAATCAAATCAAATCAAATCATATTTTGTCTCATCACACTAGTGATTTTTTTCCAGATCCAAATTCCTCAGAAAAAAAATTACCATATGTTCATACATATGTATATAATATAGTTTAGATATAAGATATATTAAAGACTATATACAATATACTTCTCATTCTATTAGAAAATGTAGATTAGAGTCAAGATAATAGATCATTCAGTAATAGCTCAAAGGTCAACATGTAGTAGATCTTAAGACCATATAGGCTAATTCAGGAGATTTAGTGTTGATGTTATTTAAGAAGGTAAGATAAAAGATAGAAGATAAAAGAAATGTGCAATGCTTTGAATTTGATGTGGAAGAAGTGCTACAGAATATACAAGAATGAAAATACAATATTTATCAGCAACTTATTAAAGCAGCTTCATCGCTATATTACATTAGGAACTCATTAGCCAAAGTGACACTGCTCTTCCTAACAGGTCATCAAGAATATTTAGGCACACACACACATTTTTTTTCTATAACAACTTCTTCACAAGGGAAAGGTTCATCCTGGATGAACCTTTAGGATGATATGGTTTCTGTATCTGTCTGATCCTAGAAATATACATGTGGCTGAAATGAGATGCAGATAGTGTTGGGTTGTATTCCAAGCACTTTTTCCTAATCAAATCTGAAGCATTAGGAGATAAATATTAATACAGATGTTTTGCAATATTAATGATGCTTAATTTGCAGGTTAAAACTTTTGAGCAATTCATAAACTTACAGATGTATGGCATCATAAATATTGAAACATGTGTTTTGTTTTAAAAAGTATTAATACAATCCCTGTGTACAATTTTTGTATTTCAAATTAACAAATGTAGTTGGAGAAAAAAGAACTTATATCTTCCATATATTGTGTGCATGTGTGTGTGTTCATGTGTATATTTTAACGTATATACTGATTTTTCCCATTTACTGTAAAAGGTACATGGAATACGCACACTGAATCCAACAAATTATAATTATAACTATAACAAATGAAATTAAGAAAAACTTTGGTTAAAAAAAGTCTAAACATCATAGTATAATCATGTAAATACTCAATACTTACAGTTATACTGTCAAGGAGCCTGGCCATGTGTTTAATTATTTCACCATGGTGTGCTGGTTGTGTTTGCAGCAGCTTTTTAATTACTACTATGCTTTCTGCTACTACTATTTCTGGTAAAATAAAAGAATAAAATACATTTTTAAAAGATATGTGTCACAGTCAAAGAATTAGAAAATAGGTATTTATTTCCAAAATAAATTGCGACAAAATAGAATATCTTTTCATGAAATGAAGTGGCATGGATTGGACTAGGTTATTTTTATATATTTGTACTTTATTTTTACACTGTAATTGTAAAATCAATTGGAGGCAGGTGTGCCATAATCAAATAAATAATCAATAAAATTGTGAGACTGGTTCAAAGTAAAAAGCATGTAAATAGGTTGGTATGTAAGTAAATAAATAAATTTAATAGAGACAGGAGATGGGAAAGATACTTAAGCACACCCACAATTTTCATTTTTCTTCTATTAACTACTTCTCCAAATGGAAAAGGTTCATCCTAGATTCTAAGTACATTTGTGCAATGGAATTTTAGGAAGAGAGCAGCAGATGGATATAATTATTGATGTCTATTAATTCTATTTTACAAATCTCCCCTTCCTGAGACTTTTTGACTCAGCAAATATTGCTATTCACAAGATATTGCTGGAATCTGTAACTTTAATATAATAATAAAGTAATGCAAATATGAAGCTATATTTTGAAACACATACTTGTCTCTGTAATATAGGGAATAGCAAAATAAAGTACTTCAGCAACTGAAAAGACTGATTATATTTTAATAGTCAAAGTGGTATAATTGCACAAAAAAGCATCAGTAATAATTTGGACACCCAATGAGACTATCAATGTACTTCATATCTCTAATTTTTCTGATCTATATATTAAGAAAGAAAATGAATTATGAACTCTGCATATTTAGTAATGGCTAAATAAAGCACAGTTTGACGTGCTTCTTTAATAACTCACAAAAAGCTCACATTTCTCTGCTTATAGCACCCTCTGTAGTACAGTTACTTTAATGCAACAGTGAAAAATGAGTTTATCTTCTATACGAAAGCCTGGAGCCTTCTAGATCTTAGTACATCAATGTTAATCTTTGCACACAAAAAAAATCAGAATCATTTTGAAGTTCCTGAAATAGGTGCAATGCTACTATTTGTCCTATACTCATGTTGTTTAAGGGAAATGACATTTCTACGTAGTCCTCTAATAAGGGTCTACTATAGAATGTTACTAGAAAATAAAAGTGTTCATTCATTCAGAAGACAAAATAGAATAATTAACTTACCATCCCTATTGGACAGCAAACATACCAAGCCATTTAGGCAGGTGTCAGTCACTTCTGAGATGTTGGTTGCACATCTGCCAATTGCCTGGATTGTAGCTGCAGCAAATTGCTTATCTTGGCTTTTCACATATGTCTGAAGAAAACAAGAAATTCATTATCTTATCAGTTTAAGAGAGCCATACCTCCAAATCTACCTTTGGTGCTTAGTAACAGTTGTAGGGATAGAAGATGTGCTAGCTGTAGTTATCCAAAATATATCAGAAGGAATCAGTCTATTTTCATGTACAATAGTAATGCAGGATAACTCAATATAAGTATTAGTCTGAGCACAAAAATAGCTTGGTTCATATGTTGTTTCAGAAACATTTCAATCTATTAAATTAGCATAGCCTAAGGAAAGCCAAAGAAAAAAATACTTTGAAGGAATATAAATTATGGTACATTTCTATATATGGTCACTAACAGCCACTATTGTTATTCCAAATGCTTTAATCCAAAAGTATCACAATCTTCCTTACCTACAACATTAGGAGTATTAAACAAGTTTGTAAGGAAAGAAGGACATGAAATTAGTTTAAACCTGAGCATCAGATATGTTAAATAAAAATATAAACAATACACGAACCTGAAATTCTCTGAGAAGAGTTGATATATTGGCTTCATTTGCTAGGTTAGTTAAAATTTCAAGCTAGAAAACAAGGTAAAATGTTACAGTAATAGAGATATACTGCAATTATTTTCCATTTCTTATAAACCATTGAAAACTGTAAATTTAAGATAGTCTTGACAAATTAAAAATGGGAAGATATAAGCTACAACTTTGTACCTATTAATAGAATATTTTTCCAGAATTGAAGAAACTATATTAAAAACAATATAATTTCTATCTATGCATCGTCAAATACTTTGCACTGAAGAAACTCCTAGCTGAACTCATGCTAGGCATGGTGAAGCTTTTAGTTCGGTTATGAAACTAATTCCTAATTTAGAATAGAAAAATAATAAAATTCTTTATTGGCCAAGTATGATTGGGCACACAAGGAATTTGTCTCCAGGGCATAAGCTCACCATGTATATATAAACAGCAAGTAATATGTCATAAATCATAGTTACAATAAATTTTATTTATAAAAAGGTATAAAAAATATTTCTGGTCTTCCAGAAATATTTTTATAAACATTTATTGAAAATAAAAGGTGGCTGAAACCCAGTGCTTTGACCATGTGTCTACCTACCAAAACAAATGCAAAAGTTAAACTGGGTTAATATTTAATCCAGGAAGACTACAAAAAACCAAGAATCCAATAGTAGCATCCAAGCACTAAAATTACTGTGCCTCTTTCCTTCTAGATTTTCAGAAAAATTTAGAAAACTTTCATTTGTGAAGATCTTACAAATTGATCTGGAGTACAAATAGATCTGTACTCAACTCTCCCATTTCTCCACTATATTGAGGGGAACACCCCAAGTGATGATACCACTGTCTTGCTAGTGACTCAGCTGTTTCATCCATCCATTCTGATCATCCTTGATGTGTTGCACTGAAGGTTATTAGGAATAGGATACTTCTTCCATCTCTTTTGATCAAGTAAATCCTTAGTTATTGATCTTGTGAGTCACTTGAGTTAGTATGTTGCCCTGAGGCTAGGTTGGGAAGTATTTGTAGAGACAGATAAACTACCCATATCTCCAACCAATAAGTATAATGAGAAGCTTTCTGTCCAAAGCATTTTCTCTGCATTACTGCTCAAGAACATTTGTTCCTTGCTCAGCAGAGTTCCAACTCATCACTAACACTAATAATTAGACTTTCTAAATCATCCCCCTGGAAAAAAGTGAAACCTCAATTTAATAATCTGCTATTTTAGGTAGAACACATCAAAACTCCATTCCTGCGATAATGGGGGTGTTTGTTGTTTCTGAAGTCTGCATACACTGTAGCCATTTCTGCATGTGTACTAACATTTTCCTTTTATACATTTACAAGTCACCTTTCTCCCAACCCAGAAAAAAGGGAGGTGGTTGAGCTCTCTAGTGCTGCCTGTTTTCTTCTTGAATGCAGAACAGAGAAAGGTCTTGAATGAAGTTGTTCCTTTGCATAACTTTAGTGTATATACCATCTCCTCCATGCTGTTTTCCTAACATGATTTTTCATTAATCATCTCTTCCTGGCAGGACGTCAGGTTCTGCTTTCAGTGTCCTATTCTATTCTCCCTCTTACCCTGTTCTGCAGAATCCACTTGGAGTGAGTCATTTGGGTAGCTTCTCAGTATGTTCTTCTTGAGGATTGATGAAAGACTAAATGAAAGAGTCTTGAACTGATACTTATTTTGGTAATAAAATATCTCATGCATGTTCAATTAAAAGTTGAATGGAAATTTAGACATATGTCTAGAAATTTAGA